TTTGTCGGCACAGAACCATACTGGAGTATAGCAAACTGCATCAAAACAGCACCAGAACTGTGTGTGGTGTGAACTGGCCCTTAAACATGGCGGTCATGCTGGTGTGAGTCAATTTACTAATGGTATATTTTGCAAGGAAAATTGCACTTTGCAAAAGAACTTGCCTTATCGCTTAGTGAACGTGGTTAAATTTCACTTTACAAAGAATACCCAATCACATGCAAGGAAAGTTAAACAAAAAAAAAAATGGTACTTTTGCTTGCACATGATTGGATGATTGACATCAGCAAAGCTTCCCCGCATTTACTAACCTCTACGGAAAATTATCATGTGAAATGTAACTGTCCTTGCAATACAAACAGCCTATTTGCCTTTAGTAAATAACCCCATTACATGGTTTGGCCCAGATTAATGTCCTTTATTGTTGAAATAGCCTAGCTCACTTGTGATAGCTGGCTTTATTGGAGGGGATCCATTAGAGTGCTCAGTGGAGTGATAGAACAAGTCCGAATGAATAATGTATATTTGTATGATACTGTGAGGAACAAGACAAGTATAGTGTGCTTCTAAGACTATCTCTTCTTTTTACAGGTGGTCCAGAATGCTACAGGCACCCTAGCTGGGAAAGATCATTGTGTCTGCGAGGTGCTTCTGCCAGATAGGTCCTTCCCTGCCAAGCGGGTGGGAGACCTGGAGGATGAAACACTCCGACTGAGCAACAGAGTAGAAGATGAAATGCAGAAGGTTATTTGTTAAGTCTTATATAAAAACACTTTTTTAAAGACTAATGATGTATAACGGATGAGAGGGCCTTAGGTATAGAAGGTTTTTCTACAGAGAATAATACCAGAAGTCCCTACAGTTATACACCAGGGATGTTCTTGGATTGACTGTAGAGAAGGAGGTCAAAAGGAAAGGTATTTAGATCAGGCTGGAACACTATTTTAAGCCTAGTACACACGATTAGAAAATTGTACGAAAACTACCACTTTTGAAGCAATCATATGATAATCCGTTTGTTAGTACACAACTTTCGTCCAAAATTATTCGAAGGGACAGGCATGTAAATTTTTCTCATACGATAGCAGATTGTACATTTTTCCTCTAACCGCTTCCCCGCCGTAGTATAGCAGATATACTGCTACACAGCAGCACGGGTGCACAAAAATCACATATATACAGTTGTGCTCAAAAGTTTGCAGAAATTGTGAAATTTTGGCATTGATATTGAAAATATGACTGATCATGCCAAAAAATGCTCTTTTATTGAAGGATGATGATCATATGAAGCCATTTATTATCAAATAGTTGTTTGGCTCCTTTTTAAATCATAATGATAACAGAAATCACCCAAATGGCTCGGATCAAAAGTTTCCATCCCCTGGAATGTGTGGCCTTGGTACAGGCACACAAGGTGACACACGGGTTAAAATGCCAATTAGAGGTTAATGTCCCACATCTGTGGTTTTTTAAATTGCAATTAGTGTCAGTGTATAAATAGTCAATGAGTTTGTTAGCTCTTATATGGAAGCACTGACTAGGCTAGATACTGAGCCATGGGGATCAGAAAAGAACTGTCAAAAGTCCTGCATAACAAGGTAATGGAACTTTATAAAGATGGAAAAGGACATACAAAGATGTCCAAAGCCTTGAATATGCCAGTCAGTACTGTTAAATTACCTATTAACAAGTGGAAAGTTCGGGGATCTCTTGATACCAAGCCAAGGTCAGGTAGACAAAGAAGGGAGCCAAAAAAAGGAGCCAAACAACTATTTGATAAGAAATGGCTTCATATGATCATCATCCTTCAATAAAAGAGCATTTTGGCATGATCAGTCATATTTTCAATATCAATGCCAAAATTTCACAATTTCTGCCAGGGTATGCAAACTTTTCAGAACAACTGTATATGTGATTTTCATTTCCGGGTAGGGGGCACAGTCATTCGCGGCCACGGATGTCAATCACCGGGTCCCGGCCGGTGATTACCTGCCGCCGCCCAATGATTGCTGACAATCACCGAAGGGGAGGAAGACTGTTTTGTTTACAGTCGTCCTCCCTGTCAACTGGGGGAACACTGCTTGGGGTGGCTGTGCAGAGCACAGCCATCCCGGGCAGTGTGCTTACAGTGAAGCACACACCCCCCACCCCCTAGTAAAACACTCTCTACACACAGTTAACCCTTTCTTCACCCATCACATAACTCCTTCCTGCCCAGTGTTATTAGTACAGTGTCAATGCTGTTTTTTAGCACTGATCACTGTATTGGTGTCACTGGGGATGTCAGTGACACCAAATTAGTTCCCTCCCCCCCAGTGTCAGAATGCCCGCCGCAGTCCCGCAATCCTGCTAAATGACATTGCTAGTAGGAAAATAAAATCCCAGTATCTATACCGCCACTTGTAAACGCTATAACTTTCACGTAAACCAATTAATTTACACGCATTGGGATTTTTTTTAGTAAAGACATGTAGCGGAATACATTTTGGCCTAAATGTATGCCGAAATTTGATTTTTTAAATTTTTTTACTGGACATGTTTAATAGCTAAAGTCCAAAAATATTGTTTTTTTTTATAGCACAAAAAATAAAAAATGCACAGGTGATCAAATACCACCAAAAGAAAGCTCAATTCGTGGGGAAAAAATGAAGGAAATTTCATTTGGGTGCAGCATTGCATGATCCCGCAATTGTCAGTTAAAGTAACGCAGTGCCGTAACGCAAAAAAAAAAATGGCCTGGTAAGGAAGGAGGGTAAATCCTCAGGAGGGCAAGTGGTTAATCAGTACAGTTTTCTTCCCAAAATACAATAAAATACAATACATTACATCACTTTTGAATTTTTATCCTGTCATACAAGAATTTTCATAACTTTAGTAATCTCTTTACTTTCGATATGAAACTAGCTTGCAAAAAAAACATGGGGATGTTTGTGTGTACGGGGCCTTAAAACAGAAATAATAGGGCCGTTCTATCTCCACCCTAATCCTCCCTCTTCTACTGTTTTAACAGCTACTTACTTAATGCTGATGTCAACTATATTAGATGGAAGAATAAAAAGGATAGAACAGGGAGGAGACATGTTGTTCCATGCAGTAATGGTCTGTGCCCCATAGGCAAATATAGGAGCGTAAGGACATACTAAGTGGGAGGTGGGAAAGCCTATGACCTCTGAGCAGTGGAGCTATCAGAAATCAAGCAAAGAGATCATAGACAATCCTAGGTCCTGCAACTATGCCTGCACAGTGAGGATGAACTTGAGTTCGGTCTGAACCTGGTTCAGCCCCAACCTGCAAGCCAGCTGTCATTACTGGACGAATCAGCTGCGAGCAGAAAATTCCCCACCCTAAAGCTGCATGTATACAAAGAGAATGGATGGTTCTGACATCTTTACCCAATATAGGCTAATATCTGAGAGTATTGGATGCCTGGTTCCCCATTGAGTGTGGTGGTCCTTTCAACAAACCTCTACGTCCCAACAGGACACAAGGCCACTGGAAGGAATCACAGCACTTGGCGGCTGATCTGGTACCCTACAGAAGTGGAACAGATAAATATATTGGGGGTTATTTACTAAAACTGCATGGTGCAAAATCTGGTACAGCTCTGCATAGAAACCAACCAGCTTCCAGGTTTTATTGTTAAAGTTTAAAGTGACATTAAAGGTTCTGTGTTTTTTTTAAATGACAAACATGTTATACTTACCTGCTCTATGCAATGGTTTTGCATTGAGCAGCCCAGATCCTCCTCTTCTCGGGTCACCTGCCGACTCTCTTGGCCCCTCCCTCCTGCCAAGTGTCCCCATAGCAAGCAGCTTGTTATGGGGGCACCCGAGCAGGCTCTCACTCCCAAGCAGCTTCTCTCTTTGTCCATTCAGCCCAGCCCCGCTCTTTCCTCATTGACTCGCTGGCTGTGATTGACAGTAGCGGGAGTTAATGGCTGCCATTGTTGTCTCAGCCAATGAGGAGGGAGAGACCATAGAAAGCCAAGTCTCTTCTGCACATAGCTAAATTGGGAGGGGCTGGGGGTGCTGCTGCACACAGAAGGTTTTTTATCTTCATGCATTGAATGCATGAAGATAAAAAAAACCTTGAGCCTTTACAACCACATTAATTGAGCTGAAGTTAGAAGCTGATTGGCTACCATGCACACCTGCACCAGATTCTGAGTGCACCAGTTTTAGTAAATCTCCCCCATTGTGTCTGCTTTACGAGAGGATCTTTTGTTATACTTTTAATTTTAGCAACATTGTTGCCACATTTACCAACATTTTTAATCCCACTGTAGTTTGCTAAACTGAATCTGATTGGTTGCTGTAGGGAAACCTAGTGATCGTATTATGTGGTAGCAAAAGTTGTCCTACACCAAGGATTTCAAAAAGTACTTTGTATGAAAAAAATATTTTTTTTTTCTTATTAAAAAAAACTGCAGCATAGCATAAAATCTGAAAAGACAGCAAGGTTTCGAGCCAACACTAAACGTTTTTCAAGTCAAACAAGAGCTAGTGTGGGGTTTTAATGTTGCACTTTTTTCAAAAACTATGCTGCTGCTTTTTTGATGATAAAATAAGAGAGCTATGAATAAAGTACATTTTGAAGTCCTTGGTGCAGGACAACTTTTGTTGCACTATGTTCTGGTTAACTGTGTGGATGCTGATGGGTTGATGACTATAGCACAAGACACTTTATGGAGACTGGTGTGCATTCTGCAATTCAGTGGAGTGATCTTATTATGGAAACAAGATAGAATACAACAAATGGGGAGGAATTTTTTCACAAATACTGTATAGCTTGAGTTCCTCCTGGCCATAGGAATGGTTGTTGCACCTATGTTTATATAAACAGCATACTAACACTGTAACTGTTTCACTTTTTACCCAAAACTGGCACCATGTTTTCAATAGTTACAAGAACAGGACATCAGACTGGACACATACTTGGAGAAGATTATTAATCTTACCAGAAGAGTGGAATATCTGGAGAAATTGCGTCCTGAAGGCTTAATGGAAATAAACTTTGAAATTTTGAAAAGGGAGATCAGGGAACTGGAAATGTACATCTCAGCAATGAGGGTCAAACCCAATGGAAACAGTGTTCAAGTACAAAACCTTTATAATGAGGTATGTCCTTTCAAAATATCAAATAGAGACTTTTAGCTAGGATGGCAATAGGCAGGTGGAAAACCTAATAGCAGTCTATGCACAGTCATACTCCAAGATATAATGAATTAATCTTATGTCTTTAGGTCAAGAATATGTCTAAGACTGTTGGACAACTAGAAACTCTTGACAAGAACAATGTTCTAAAAGCCAAGAGAGAAATGGAGAATTTGAAGAAACGTCTTGTGGACTGTGAAAAGAATCTCAAACCAAAAGCTCCAGTCATGGTGCCCTTTGGTAAGTTAGCTGGTAAACACATGCACAATCAGTTGTAATGATATATATTACTACAAGAAATACAGACTTTTGGGGGGCAAGGAACCCAGCATTGAGCTTTAAAGCTGATCTTCAGGATTTTCGGCGGGTTTGGAAAAAAATACAGTATATATAAATTTCCATTTTATTTACCTGAAGCTGCAGTCACATGACACTACTGGCACCATCCTTCTCTCTTCCTTTGTTTACTTCCTATGGGCTCCTTCTTTGGGTGCTCATGCCACTGCCTACATGACAAGAACATTTCATATTGGCTGCCCACTCTCATAATCCAGACGAATTGAGTAATCTGTAGGTGATGGTAGTGGATCAGTGGTCTCAGGCAGGTTTGTAGCACTGGATCAGGAGTCCCAAGCACCCAGAAACAGTGGTGGCAAGGAACCTGGACAGGGGACTTAGATGAGTAAATCTTACTTCACCAGGTAAGAAAAAAATTTAATTTTCAGGATCATACATAATGTAAGAACCAGTCAATGTAATCTACAGTCTGGATATGTTTTAAAGAAACAAGAAATTTCTAAAAAAAAAGTTAAGCAGAAACAAGGTTGTGAAGTCCATGATAAAAGGGAGATAGAGGACCTCAACAGAGGTATATCCATCTTTAAATCATAATATTTACAGGTATAGCGCTATCCCTGAAGGAGCTGCTTGGTTTTCTGCCTCAACTCTTGAAACCATTTGGTTCCCAGCGACACACCTGGTTATGCACATCTGTGTAGCTGAAGTGGTAATATATTATGAATCTATTATAGTACACAGCAAATAGTCCACAAGCAGCTTGAGGATTAATAGGATGAATGTATTATTGAAGGGTAAGCAAATGCAATGCACAGAACAAATAAACAATAGAATACCTTAGACTAACCTCTCCTACAGCCATTAACTAAGGCTAAGGTTCATTACACTAATCCACACAGTATCAGTAAGAATAGCATCAACTGTGAAGGCATGAATGGCATAAAATAAACTTTGCAGTAACACTCAGCAATAGCTACCCAAAAAGTGTCCCTGGGTGGGGCAAAGGGGTACCCCTGGTTATGGCTAAAGTACCTGGTGCCTAACTGTCATTGTTGATGTGGCAGCTTTCTTTAAGGCTCTTCTGTAGGTGATGCACATTTAGCTGTCCTTTTAAGACTTTAAAGAAGGGATGGCTGATAGTTAAGGGGCAGTCTCAGTTGGTATTTACTGTGGGTGCCAAGGGGTAAACTCGGTGGTTCCACTCACTACTCCCAATATGCAATGGATCAGATCCAGTATGGTTGGCAATCAGTTGCCCCGAAGTCTCAGTCCTCATGATCAGGTCTTCATAAGGCTCAGTTTCTCACAGCTGTAGAAACAAGTCTCTCCAGCTTTGGTCCCAGTTCAAGGAAAGACATTTCTGTGGCTTGTTGTTCAGGTTTTCTCTCTCTTAGGCCCAGCCTCTTAGGTGTACAGGGCACAGACCCCAGCAGCAGATCTGCACTGACCTATTCCCTGTGCTGGTCTGCCCCAATCTCTGCCAATTTACCCAGGAAAACACTGTATCTCCCCTCCTCTGTGATGCAAGGTATCTTGATCCTTGTAGTTTGTGGATCCCCCTGGCCTACAATTCCCAGGTTCCATTGCGGCTGCATCATCAATTATCTTACTTGAGAGAGAAAGAAAGCTAGTAGCTCTGTTACAGTTCAGCATAACAAGGAAGTAAAAGGAGAGAGTCTAGCTGGACACCACACGGCCCCGTGCTCCTCTCAAAGTCAACACAGTGGCAGGGAGGTTTTCATACAGTCAGCTCTCCAGCTGGCAAAGCAGCACTCAGCTACACAGGCTAAAAAGATATAAGCATGGGTGATTCACTGCATCTGTGACTTAGCATAAAAGGCTCCAGACCAGAGAATTTTTAAATGTCCTTTTTTTAAGTAGACTTCTTGATTAGGTAATATGTTGAGCCACAATGTGCAGTGTTACATTGTATGTCAAATCATACACTTAAGCATTTATGCTTTTTTCATAAAGGGATATACCTATGTATATGAAGTTCTAAAATCTTCTATATTTTTATGATATATGTTAATAAAATATAATATAATATAAAACATTATAATGTTAACAGATTTTTAAAAATCTTTTTACAGGATCTTGTCAGCACCAAGGTTTAGCCCGTATCAGTAAACCTAACCTTCTGCAACTCAACTGGAAGGGAAATGCATACAAGTCAGGAGCGTGGGGCAAAGATGCAGCATGGAACACCACCAAGAAGTCACTGTACTGGGTGGCTCCTCTAAATACTGATGGTCGAGTTCTTGAGTCCATACGCATTTATCCATCCATGTCTGACCTGCAGATGTATAAAAATCCTATAGATCTACCCCTCTCTATGCTCATAAAAAATAAATGGAACCATACCTTCGCTGGCCAAGGAGCTGGAATGGTTGTACACAACAACAACTTGTACTACAACTGCTTCAACAGCCATGATATGTGCAGAGTTAGTTTGACCAGTGGAGTCTACCAAAAAAAGTCTCTTCCTAATGCATTGTTCAACAACCACTTCTCTTATGCTGGCACTATGTACCAAGACATTGACTTTGCTTCAGATGAGAAAGGTCTCTGGGTTCTATTTACCACTGAGGAAAGCGCTGGCAAAATTTTGGTGGGTAAGGTCAATGTTGCCACTTTCACAGTTGATAATATCTGGATTACCACACAGAGCAAACCTGATGCAAGCAATGCTTTCATGATGTGTGGAGTCCTCTATGTCACTCGTTCACTCGGTCCGAAATTGGAAGAAGTCTTCTACATGTTTGACACCAAAACAGGAAAAGAGGGTCATCTAAGTATCGTGATGGAAAAGATGGCTGAGAAAGTGCAAAGTCTTAGTTACAATTGCAATGAACGCAAGCTTTACATGTATAGTGAAGGTTACCTGCTACATTATGATATTGCTTTGAAGCCTTGAGGTTTTTTATTTACCTACATTTTCTTTTAGTAGGGCCTTTATATTCTTTTCCACTGTTTGTCCCTGTTAACTACCTGGAAAAAATGCCCATCACCGCTCAATCCTAATAAAACCATCAGAATAGATTGCAGATTATTAGATGTATACTCTGTATATTTCCTTATTATGTGCTCTATATCACTTGTAAGACCATCTTACATAAACTGTTATATCGAAACTCAATTCATAAGTGTATAAAAGCATGTTTCTTTTTAAATGTTCGTGACCAGATAGCTTTATATAGATTAATATAAAACCCATTTATTAGTCTGTTGCACACATAATCCATTTTCATTCTTTACATAAAATTTTTATCTATCTTACCTTACTTCATCAAATTATCAGGACATTTTGAGGAACAGGAAAGTTAATCAACCTTGATATGTTCAAATACAAATTACTTAAGATTGAATTTAAACAAAATCAAATTGTGATTTCAAGTGAAAAATAAAGTAACTAAAATGTAAATGACGTGTTTGGTCATCAGGTATGAATAGAGATTGGACTGTGGTCAAGTTTGGCTATCATTACAAATCTGTTACTAGAGGCTGTGTCCACCAAAAAATTACCTCTGCTTTGAAACAAATGTCTTGAAGTGTTACTAAACCCAGGACCCTGCATCCAGTATGTCTGGTCTCCCACAGTACACAGAACATGAAAATGCAATTATTTTAGTAAATATAAACTACTAAATACCTTTTCTCACCAGAGGTTAGAGCAGTCTTGTGGCTTTTATCAGTGTTCAATCAAGCACTAGCTAAAGCTTGTTGGAGGAGTTTTCTTTCTGCTCTAGGAGGATACAAAACCCCTGAGCTCTATCTGACCAGTGCTATGATTTAACTGGTATTGCTGAATCTTGGCTTCATTCTTCACATGACTGGGCCATTAATATTTCTGGCTATGTTCTCTTTCGAAGAGACAAGGTAAACTGGAAAGGTGGTGGTGTCTGTCTCTATATGAGAAGTGATCTCAGAAAAAGTGTGAAAGAGGACCTAGTTGATGGAGAGTGTGATGAGGCTGAAGTATTATGGGTGGAACTGCACATGGGGGTGCGTACTACAAAGGTAATCATTGGAGTTTGTTATAGGCCTCCCAGTGTTAATGAGGAGGTGGAGACTCAGCTCCTTGCACAGATCGAAAGGGCTGCAAGGGCTGGGACAGTGATAATAATGGGGGATTTTAACTACCCAGAATTTGACTGGAGTAATGATACTGCAGGAACAGTTAAAGGGCAAAAATTTTTAAACCTACTACAGGACAATTTTATGCTACAGTTCATAGAAGCCCCTACTAGGGATGATGCTCTGCTGGACCTGGTAATCTCAAACCATGCAGAGCTTATTACGAATGTCCATATAAAAAAACATCTGGGTAGCAGTGACCATAACATGATTTCATTTATTGTTAGCTGTAAACAGCGAGCACATACAGAAAAATAAAAACGCTCAATTTTAAGAGAGCTAATTTTCCAAGGCTGAGAGGTGCTCTCCAAGACTTAGACTGGGAGGGAATATTGGCATCGATGAACACAACACAGAAATGGGAGTTCTTCAAAAAGACTGTATGTGAACACACTGCAAAATATATTCCCATGGGCAACAAGTTTAAAAGGCTAAAAATCAAACCTATGTGGCTTACGACCAAAGTTAAAAAAGCTATAGATAAAAAGAAAAGCGCTTTTATTAAATATAAAAATGAAGTAATGCTATCATCCCTTAAACATTACAAAGCATATAACAGAATATGCAAAAAGGAAATAAAGGCCACAAAAATTGAAAATGAACGACAGATTGCAAAAGATAGAAGGACCAACCCCAAAAAATTCTTCAAATATATTAATAGTAAAAAGGTCCAGTTCGAGCATGTAGGCCCTTTACAAAATAATGTAGAGTGGGTGACTGAGGACATAGAGAAGGCAAATTTATTAAATACCTTCTTCAGCTCTGTGTATACAAATGAGCATGGGGGAGCTCTTGTCCATAATGGGCATGGTATTGACACGGCTCCAGATGATCCACATTGGCTCACAATTGATATGCTCCAAAAATATTTAGACAGAATAAAGATGAATAAAGCACCTGGACCGGATGGCATACACCCACAGGTCCTTAAAGAATTGAGCTGTGTCATTTAAAAGCCATTGTTTCTAACTTTTAGGGACTCTTTGATGACTGGCATAGTATTGCTGGATTGGCGCAAGGCCAATGTGGTGCCAATATTTAACCATTTCCATACTGGGCACTTTTACCCCCTTCCTGCCCAGGCCATTTTTCAGGTCTCAGCGCTCTCACACTTTGAATGACAATTGCGCGGTTATACAACATTGCACTCAAACTAAAATTTGATTGTTTTCTTCACACAACTAGAGCTTTCTTTTGGTGGTATTTAATCACCGCCGGGGTTTTTTTTATTTTTTGCTAAATTAACAAAAAAAGACCGAAAAGTTTGAAAAAAAAACACGTTTTTCTTTGTTTCTGTTATAAAAGTTTGCAAATAAATAATTGTTCTTCATAAATTTTAGGCCGAGATGTATTCTGCTACATGTCTTTGGTGAAAATAACCCAAACTAGGATGTATTTTTTAGTTTGTAGGAAAGTTATAGAGTTCACAAACTATGGGATAGATCTGAATATTGAACAATCCTGAAGTACTGACGGCCAATCTAATTTCTTGAGGCCCAAGAATGTCAGAACAGTACAGATATCCCCCAAATTACCCCTTTTTGCAAAGTAGACAGTCCGACGTACTTCATAAGAGCCATGACGAGTTTTTTGAAATTGTATTTTTTTTGTCAGAATTTTTCGGAAAATTAAAAAATTAAAAAAATTATTTTCACTATTTTTTCTTACGTACTGTCACCAGTGCAGTACAGCGTCATCATATAACTGGCATGGCGGTGATCAGGGACATTGACTGGTGACAGTATGAAAAAAAAAATATATATATTTTGTTTTAATTTTATTTATTATTTTTAATTTTTTATTACATTTGTTTTCTTTTTTTTAAGATTTTTTTTTAATATTTCACTATGACCAAAGTAGTACAATTTTACCATAGTAACATTGTACTACTTTGGGGAAGTGATAAGTATTTTTTTTTTTTTTTTTTTTACACAATTTGCTTATAGCAAAGAATTACTTTGCTATAAGCAAGCATTTACCTGAATGACATCGATTCATTCAGGGCTTTTTTTTTTTTTTTTTTGTTCTTAGCTGTGATTTGGCCACGGCTAATCACATGACATAGCTGGGCTGTGATTGTGCATGTGATCGCTGTGACCATTCACAGCTAGGCACACTAGTATACAATGGATGACATACAACTGTCATGTGACCTGCTGTGATTGGTCACAGCAGGTCACATGGTACCGGCAACGGGGGCCGGTACTCAGATCTGTCATCGGCCGTGTCCGAGGTACACAGCCGGTGACAGATCGCGCCGCTGCGCGGCTCCGCAGGCGCGCAAACTGCACATGCCTGGGAGGACGCCATATGGAGTCCACCCGGAACGCTGAGGAATTTTGCCGGCCACCATCTGGCCATAGGCCAGGTGGCAAAAGGTTAATAAGGGGTCAAAATCTTTACCAAGTGATCATAGACCTGTTAGTTTAACTTCTATAGTTGGGAAGATACTGGAGAGTTTAATAAAAGACCACATAGATGAGTTCTTGCTGGAAAAAAAATATTTTAAGTAACAGACAGCATGGATTCATGAAAGACAGAAGTTGTCAAACAAATCTGATTTCTTTTTATGGGGGGGTGAGCAAAAACTTGGACAGAGAGTTGGCGGTGGACGTGGTATACTTGGATTTTGCAAAAGCGCTTGGCACAGTTCTCTACACACGGCTAATGTGTAATGTAAAGTTTACGGGCTTGGAAAAATCCATATGTAAATGGATAGAAAACTGGCTAAAAGATCGTATTCAGAGAGTAGTGGTTAATGGTTCATACTCTGAATGGTGTAGGGTCATCAGTGGTGTACCCCAAGGTTCAGTGTTGGGACCCTTACTTTTTAATATATTTATAAATGATATATAGTCTTGGATTAAAAACCCATTTCAGTCTTTGCAGATGACACCAAGCTGTGCAGTGGAATAACGTCCTTACAGTATGTCTCCAATTTACAAACCGACCTCACTGCACTGTGTAATTGGGCAACTATGTGGCAAATGAGGTTTAATGTTGATAAATGTAAGGTTCAACACTTGGGCGCTAAGAATATGCATGCATCGTACATACTAGGGGGGTGCAACTGAGGGAATCAATGGTGGAGAAGGATCTGGGAGTTCTGGTAGATCACAAGCTTAATAATGGCATGCAATGCCAAACTGCAGTTTCTAAAGCGAGCAAAATCCTCTCTTGTATTAGAAGAGGTATAAACTCCAGATATATAATTTTACCCCTGTGCAAATCATTAGTAAGACTTCATCTGGAATATGCAGTTCAGTTTGGGGCACCAATTCACAAAAAGAACATTGGAGAACTGGAGAAAGTACAGAGAAGGGCAAAAGAAACTGATACAAGGCATGGAGGAGCTCAGCTATGAGGAAAGATTAGAGGAACTGAATTTATTCTCTCTTGAGAAGAGGAGATTAAGGGGGGATATGATCAACATAATTAAATACATCAGTGGTTCATATAGTGAACTCGGTGTAGAGTTATTCACCTTGAGGTCATTACAGAGGACAAGGGGGCACTCTTTACATCTGGAGGAAAAGAAATTTGATCTCCAAACACGGAAAGGTCTCTTCACAGTGAGAGCTGTGAAAATGTGGAATTGACTCCCTCAAGAGTTGGTTCTGGCCAGCTCAGTGGATTGCTTTAAAAAAGGCCTGGATTCTTTCTTAGATACACAGAATATAACTGGATACTAACATTTATAGGTAAAGTTGATCCAGGGAATATCCAATTGCCTCTCGGTGGGATCAGGAAGGAATTTTTTTCCCTGCAGGAGCAAATCGA